CTATCCAGGTATAGTCTGTTGCCCTGCTTGCTTACTCAAGCATTACCTTTCTCATTTCTTTATTTTTGATACTAATTTCATTTCTATTTATAATTACCATTTTCTTTTAGTTACTCAAGAATGATCAAGATCTTTCTGCTTTTCTGACTGACTTTCTAGGATAAGTAACTAACAAGCCAATATATTATTGGATTGGAGTAGGGCTTTTTATAGAAGGACACTTTTCATATCTATAGAGAAACAATTATTAATTCTTTTTGTCTTTTTTCATATTGGAACTGATAATCTTGCACTTCTTTTTTACTGCTTCCAGTGATCGTCATATCACCAACTGGATGATCATTATACCATAACACTTTTTTTTTTATAGTCACAATCTCATTGCCTGCAGGATCTGCATGTGAATCGGCTTGTATTGAGAAATAACACTTGACAAGTTATGGTACCAGATATTATATTTATTCTATTCAACTGCCTTCATCTGGAGTTAAACTAGTATCTTGTGATTTGATCTGTTGAGCACTAACCACTGTGCTATAGACTTACAGGTCTATAATAATTATTACATATATTATAAAAATTATAATTTATATTATTAAAAAAATTATTATATTATTATAAATCAAGAGTTTTAAAATATTAAATCAAAAATCAATAAATTTCAATATATATTGATTTATATTTAAATTAATAATAATTAACAGGAGGATTATAATTGATATATATTTAAGATATTATTAATTAATCTATATTATCTTATTTATTTTGCTAATGATAGTAATCAAAAAGTCAAAAAGATAATGAAATAGCAAGCCTATTCAGGAGTTCTCTTAAGAAAATAATTAGTTTTCTACTTATAGATTTTACAGTTTATTTGATTCAATTTTAGTTTTAGTAATATTTATTTTTTCTTTTTTTTTAATTACTTTATATTCAAAAAAATAAAATATTTTACAAATTTTTTGAGTAAATAGGCATAGTCACTATTTAAATACAGATAATATATAGTATTGTTTAGATTTTTTTTTTCAATATTAGCTAGATATGTATGTATAGACAAGTTAGTATTTAACTTGATATCTTATATATATATATAATATTGTTTCTTTTATAATATATACTTTGTTATATATAATATTAAACAAAAAATAATATTTATCTATAAGAAAAACCTTTTTGAAAAAATATATACTATTGTTAATATAATTTAAACTAATTATATTATATAAGTAAAAATAAATTATAATTTTTTAAGCTTTATATAATCATATAATATAAATTTTAATATATTAATAAAATAATATTAAATTTTTATTTGAAAATAAAATTATACATAAATAATTACAATATAATTATTATAAAAAATAATAACTTAATATAACAAAATATTTTGATATAGATGTAAAAATTGTAAAAAAGTAATATCAATTTTCAAAAATTTATTTTTTTCTAATAAAAAATTACAAGTCAATAATATATTAAAAATTATTTATTATTGATTTGAAAAAGTACTATACAAATTTATTATAATTATAATTAATTGTTTTGTATATATAGTTACAAATTATGTCAACTTTTTTTGAAATCTTTTTGAATCAAATATTTAAAATACTGTATATCAAATAAAATTGGTGAGTTTGGAATAATTGTAAAAATTGATAAATCAAATTTTAACTGAACAAAATATAATAATAATATTGAAGATATATAAATATTTGATGGTGTTAAAAATATACTAACAAAAAAAATATATTTGCTCAAGTTATTAAAGATTAAATAATCAAAATTTTATTAAATATAATTAAAAAAAATATTTATCTGAAATCAATTATATATTTTAACAAATAGTATAGTTATAATAAAATTTTCAATAGTTTAGATATAAAACACTTTATAATAAATTATAGTATTAATTATATTAATTCTAAAACAAAAGTTTATACAAATAATATTAAAGGTACTTGAAATGGTTTTAAAATTCAAATTTCTTCTAGAAACCATAATAAGTTAGATATTTTTAATTATCTTTTAAAATTTATTTGAAGCAGACAACATAATTTTAATTTTTGAAAATTTTTATTAATACAGTATATTTAAAAAATAATAGATACTTTAAATAAAATATTAAATATTTTTTATATTTATTAAATTATATATTTTATTACTATTGTGAAGTAAACTATTTATTTATTTATTAAGTAAATAAATATTATTACTTTATGATAATTATAAAATTTGAAAAAATTATTATATAAAGAAAATAATAATATCTCTCATGTAGCTAATTGATTAATAAGTTTAATGCTAACTTGTCTATAGTAAACTATTTAAGCATAAAGGAAAATAAACATTAAAACCAATATATATTATAGACAGTACTGAGCAGCTATGAATATTTACTCAAATTTATATAGGATAAGACTTGAGAAATGAAAAAATGAAAAAAAAAATGCTAGACAAAAAAGAAAATAACAAAAAAACTAATTATAATATAAATAATATATAAGATTGAATATGATAATGTTGATAGGAACTGATCTTTTGCAGTATTGATTGAGAAGAGAAGTTGTTATTGATATTGACTGTTTGAAAAATATGCTTACTTTCAAGTGGTGTATTAATGATTTTGTCAATCATATTTAATAATTGATATTTAATAGTACTGAATAGAACAGTTATAAATATTTATTCAAAGTTATATAAAAAAAAATATATATATAAGAAAATAAAAGAGAAACAAGTTAAAATGAAATTAAATAAATTATAAAATTCATAAAAAAAAAAATTATATTTCTAAAAAAATTTAGAATTAGTTTTATTGTTTTTTTTTGCAATTTTTTTAATATTTATTCTTATTAATATAAATAATAAAATATAATTAATTATATTTGTTATAGTTATTATTATTATTGTTATATTGATATAAATGATAATTAATTTGATTTTATTTGTTATTATAGTTATAGTTATTGTTGTTATATTAATATTAATAATGATTAATTTAATTGATTTATTTGTTAATAATATAATATTGTTTTGATTATTATTATCAAAAAATATTTTGTTCATATTGATTATTATATAATATATTGATTATATATATGTATTTGTTTGATATATGATAATATTTAATTAGTTGAATTTAAAATTAATAGAAGTAGATTAATTATAATTTTTTGAATAAAATTTTTTGATTTTTAATAGTATAATAAAATACATTAGGTAATATTAAGAAATAGATATTGTATATACTGTTGATTTCTCATGTTGATAGTGTAAGCAATTTTAATATAGAATTTGATTTTTTGAAATAAAAAACAATTCTTTAAAAAAAAATATATATTTATTTAATAAAAAAATATATATGAATAAGAAATAAAAGTAGAAAGAAATTCCAAAATGTTTATAAAGAAGTAATTACCACAAGTTTTTTCTTATATAATTCTTTAAAAAAACAAAGATTTTAAATTTGCTTTTCTTTAATCAGAGGTTTCATTCTAATGTATCAATATGTTTTTTTAATTTTTTTAAGGCTCTTGTTATAAAAATAAAAGAGATGTAAAGAACTTTTATATATTAAAAAGTAAAAAAAATAATTGGCTCTTTAATTTTAAAAAAAATTTTTATAAAAAATGTTGTATACAAAAAAGAGTTTTTTTATTAAATTATATATAATTTCTATATGTTTTATATTATACAATAATATATCTAATAATATAATTAATTATAGCAAAAAAGTAAAATAACAAAATGTTTTTTTAATTTGAAATAATCTAATATTCTTTCATCTTTTTCTTATACTGTTATAGGATTATCCATGTAATAATGATAAATCAAAGTTTAATAAATGTCTTGCATTTAATGCTTATTCACAATAAGAAAACAAAACAAACAAATTTCTTACCAAGTATTTATAAATCAATATCAACATAACATTAAACACAATATTAGACAGCATATTTATATTAAAATTTTTAGATAACGGATTTACAATATACTGTATGTTTACAAGATATTGATTAATCATAAAATAAAAATTTTTGTATTGCATTCCACACTATATTTTATTGATTAATGCGTATTGTGAGTAAATTTGAATTTTAGTATAAATCCATATATTGTCAATAGTCTGTCAAGTTAACTACTATAACATAAATGGTATATCGTGAAAAAAAAAATTATTATTATTATTATTGTTAATTTGTAAATTTTTAGCTGGTTAAAACAGAAATCATAATTTTCATATAAAAGAACCATAAAGAAAGTTGCTTATACCTTTAGTTAGCCAAAACCACAATAAAAATCGAATCAAACACACTTTTGGGAGGATTTTTAAAACAATTCTGGGTTCACAATAACTTTTTAAATTTCTTTAAAAAAATTATATTTTTCAGAGTGACCATTTATTTTATTGAAAATTATTAATAAATTCCATCATCCAGATTGATTATTAAAAAAAGACGAGATCCTTATGGGTCAGTATGCATGAATCTAAGGATTCGATGTGATTCATCAAAATTTATAATTTAATAATCTTTTGATATCTTGTAGCTCCCTTGGCGTAAAGTGGTTAAAATCACGGATTTTTTTTATTGTATCTTGAATCAACAATATAATATATTAATATTCACTTAAATTACGACATCGGAATCAAAAATTTTCACAAATCACAGTTTCGATCCTGAAATGAGTGAGCACAGATTCGTTTCAGAAGTAAGCCTTCGTATTTTTTTTTTTTTGCCGCCTCAAATTCTGCCAATAATTTGGTCGACAATATATTATTGGCTCATGTACATAATAAATCGGATCTTACTTATCCACAACAAATTCCGCTTTGTTTTGTTTTGTTTTGTTTATTTATCAGTCATTACTTGCTTTGTTTATATTTGATTGATTTGTTATAATTTGCTTCCCGCTCTTCTTGTTTGCCCGATCGATTCTCATGGAAAAGTGGGTGGGACTTGCTGTAATACAATCATTAAACAATATTACGACGTGCGCTATACCATATTAGTCCGAACAAAGGTCCACGCATTTCCTTTGCCTCTTCCGCCCTTGTTTTTTTTTACCTCGTCTGAGGTTATATGATGAACGGATACACATTGACAGGTAGACAAATAAGCTATCGCAGATTTTGTGTTGACATGCATACGGTAGCGTGTGCATACATACTAACTTTATCTGGCACACAGAACGATGAAAGATTGAGGTGGTCACAATAAGCATTTTCGTTTTCACCCGTCATCCCTATTAGAGTGACATTGTGCAAATTCTTGTCGCTCTTATAAGTCAATACATTACAATTCGTTGTTTCTGACGATTGAGACGATGAAAGTAGGCGAATGTGAGTGACTGTAAAAAAGGAAATCAAGGATATGCCCAAATCCCAATGTCCTTCGGATCGCAATTTCGATATCAGGGTGACCAAATAACATGTTAAATGATGACAGATGCACACTGAGTGAATGACCAAGTACACACTCGATGAATTAATTTATCGCAAATTTGAATTTTCTTTCTCAACTATACTTTGAAATATTCACGCACAATGCTATGGTGTGATTCTTTCCCCGCAAATAAACAAGCATTCGTACCCCACACGAAAATTCTTGTCGTAGACTTTAATAAAAACTTTGTGATGGGGGCCCGCTAATTTCGTAGACTGTACGTGCGAACCATAAAATCATGAGTATCGCGCGATTGAGTAAGTAGCTCCACTCGAATCACTACCGATTATCTTTCCGGCTATCATCAACGAAAAAATATCCGACCATCAAGATTTAAATTTCCGGCAACAAGTATTCGGGAGTTTAAGAGTAAGTTCAATGAGTGGAATCATAATGGGCGTAACTGGTTACTTTAAGGGGCGAAAATTTGCCCGTCAGTGTCGTGATGTTACGCCTGCTTCGTTACACCTATTGTTGTACATCCGTCGCATTTTAACAATGTTCAATTCCAACCATGAATTTACACAATGTTTCAATGAACACACAATTTTATCGATACCACAATGCTTTAATTTATCAATAATGTACAGTCAACTATGTAGCATTAGTTCGTTCGCTCGTTCGGCCGTTCGCATTCGACGAATCCGAAATCTCGAGCTTCATAATGAAACCCGAATAAAGCTCTTGAAAAAAAAAAAGAGAATAAAATCAACCCACGATTGCCTATTGTTCTCGGGGGTAATGAGGTGCATGAAAGTTGTATGGAAGACGGACGATACCCCCCTCATTAATAACAAAGGTGGTTTCATCTATGCAGCAGATTTCGTAGGTATTTTCCGCGGTAGAAAATTGATTAAATCACATATATCTATTACATGCGCGGTTAGTAATCAATACACTGTGTCCATCGCCTAAGTAGGAAGTTTTCCGGTTAATATTCTTTGGTAATAATAATGTGCTTGGTATATTTTTGTTTGTATTGAAGGAGGCAAAAAGGATGATAATCAAAGATGCTCAGGAAATCAGATTATAGAGTTGCACAGCGTAATGCGCAAAAAAAAAAGGTGCGTACGTAATAATCGAGTACACCAATGGCAATGCCGTCACATGTTAATTAAATCGGCAAACGACTAACTGATCGTCCATCAATGGTGATACCAATTATGTGTACAAATGACAGGTTACCATTTTCGTTAAAGTCCCATAGTCTCATAGAATATATGACTGCGTCATGAGATTATGTATGCGAGTAAACAATTGATGTTATTTCATATGAAATCGAGAGTCGTTGTTTAGGAAGCTTCTGTTAGAAGAAAGATGTCGTTGTAAGAAAAAAAGATATTGTTCCAAAAAAGTTTTTTTTTTTTTGGTCATTGATAATCGGATAGGATTAGAGGAAATCACCCGTGAAAAGTCGTTATTTGTTTTTTACAGTGCTTTGTTTGTATACAAAAAAGCGAGAAAGTCTCCATTGAAAATAAAGAGAAGATCAAAGAAGCAGCAAAAGATGCAATCACGGACACCACGAACATAAGCATTGTGTTTGCTACATAAGATGGATGCCTTGTCTCATGTTTCTTTTCCACAATGTGGATTGATGTATTCTTTGGTACAACACCGAATGCATCAGAATCACGCAGGCAACCTCATCTCCACACAATTGTAGGTAAATAATAACATCAAGAAGGGCAGATGGAACCAGAGATTGCGATAATTTATGGCGAAGGTTATTTATTTCCATTTTTGGAAATTAGTTTTGTGGGATTTTGTTTACACACGCACACTATTAGATGAAGTCGTGTCTCTTATTGTAATCAGTCTTTCGGTACGCTAAATAGTCAACTCCATGGGATTCGAAGAACGTACGAATGAATGAATGAATGAATGAATGAATGAATGGATGCATGCATATGCATGCACTCTATATATCAGTAAATGTACCTGTCTATCTATATGCAGGGTGGTCTCCTTAGGAAAATACTCGAACGGGTTAGAAGTTCTTGAAATGTGAATTTGCCCTCATGCCGGGTAATTTAATTGTTTTCTAAGGGCATGGAATTGTTTATCTTATTGATAGTGAACATAGTATAGATTAATTCATCCAGTGTCACTGTCGCTAACGGCAAAACTCCGTTGGGCAGTAAAAGAGGAGGGCAGGAAAAAAAACTGCAGATACATCTGTAATTGCTTTATACGTATATATATCTACCCGTATCTACGGCGACATCTGTAATTGCTTTATACGTATATATATCTACCTGTATCTACGGCGACAGCAACAACGATAATAAAATGGTTGGTTGATTCATTCATAGGAATGTCGTTTGTTTAGTGTGCATATCAAAAATAATGATCCCTTAAATGTTTTTCCTGTCACACTCATATTTTCAAAATTGTAGAGGAAGAGTAGATTCGGTGTACAGTAATAATTTTTAAATAACGATAAACTGACTTCTTTTCCACCTTGTTTGACCTTAAGACGGATTGTTGTGGCATGGTTACACTCGGAATTTAAAGTGCTGTGCTCCTTTAGTCATCGGCATCCTGCTGAGTTCCTGCTGTCGTGGTATTCTGAGAAATAAAAAAATTTACCCTCCACATACATGCGCGTTAATGCGCGTTACGATTGATGATGATGATGATGTGCAGTGATGTCAAGATTCTGGTCATGGGGTTCACCACCACCAAGAATTTTAAATGCGTAAAGAAAGTCCGATTTTCGACATACATACAGTATATAATAAAAAAAAACAACAGCATTTAATTTTTTTTCCCAACAAAAAAAAAAAAAAAAAAAACAAACTTGGTAAATAGTTTTTCGTTAGTTTCTTAACACCTCTCCTCGTTTATCACGTACAATATACACTGCACAATATATTTGTTACTCCAAAGGAGAAAGAAATGTGTTGTTATCTTACCCGCACCCGGGGTGACACAAATGGACAAAATAGTGGTGAGAGGAGGTTCAAGAACACAGCAACGTTTTTTATACGTGCAATAAAGGAAAATCATAATTGAAAATTTTTTGGTGTCAATACAGCAAAATTGATGTACAATATTTCAGGTAGGCTTGGATAACAGAAAAGGCAATAATAATACATCAAACATAAAGCAAAACCCATCCCCCTTCTCCATGTTGTCGATCGCTGCTCCATGCCAATATGTTCTCTTTTACTGTGAAGTTTTGCATACAATTCAAATGTTTGAATGCTGGAGACGTCATGCCCGTTGGTGTCACCCTTAAGTTCATTGACAAACACATTTTAAGAGCCGGAATAATTCACGCGGAGTAATTAAATTGTTTAGGCGGAGATACGTAATGTGTGTGCACTGATTAATTCCAATCAGTTATGCACAACGTAATCATCATCATCGTCATCGTGCGTCAGGGATACCTAATCCTCGAGTCGAGTCGTACCCCAAAAAAATTTTTTTTATGTTCCATGTTAAAATTAAAAGACGTCGGAAATCTGACACGATTTTGTTCTTATTTGCCACCGATATTTACAAAATGGGTAAATAAGAAATCAAACATCAAGGATTTCAAGCAACCGACCGCCGAATGTGTACATTACCGTACACCCAACGCTTCCGTCTCCCCCTTTGTGGATCGACAATGCAGTAATATAACTCGAATAGGATTGATGACACGAAATAGGATTTGCCATGTGAATTTGTTAATGCCTTATTAAAATCCACGTAACACACGCGGACTACACTCTCCCACACACATACACAAACAAAAGTTACCCTCCCATAAGGATTGGTGTTGTTCGTTGTCACTGTGCCGTTGTTTTTGCTATGGGGCAAAAAAAAGAAGAGAGAATAGAATGTCCAAATACGATTATCAGAGGTTGCCTTATTTAACCCTTCCATTTTGGCATAAGTGTACGAACATCGTATCCAGTTTCAGATATTTTCATTCAATATGCGTAGCTTAAATTGAGTTCAGTGAAATGGTTCGAATGTTTTACGCTGACTAATTATTGATTTACGTATGTACCTGAAATTACTTTACTTGATGTGCATACTTGAAAATCTGAGATATAAATGTACTCGGAAAATTGCATTGCGCGACACAAAGCAAAAATCCATACTGGATTCGGATTGGGATCCGGGCATTAGTTGACCTATTTACAAGCGTAATGCGCGTGACTCCAAAACAAGTATCAACCATTGTAACATTTCATTATTTTCCCATTGCATACGACGTACGGCATTTATACATCATATATAACGCATACGTTGTATAGGACATATGTCACCGAGTTATGCTCAAAATGGGTCCATTACCAATGGAGAATGCGCGTTGTATTATTTGCTCCGTGTTTGCGGACGTCTTACAGGACATAGGGAGAGGCGGTGGTGAATGAAATGTGAATGATCAAGGTGAACCGATTCGGCACGAATTTGTCTGAAGCCGTCGGAGACGGCATTCGATCACCTGGTGACAGATCGAATTCGGAGTTTTTTCTGCTTTATTTATTTATGTTTTTTTTTTTTAAAGAGGAAGAGGGTGTTGGATTGTTCCTTTTTTTGACCTCACCCATTAGAGTTCACTTATGTCCGTTTAACTCGGGCTTTAATGCGTGTGGGATGCAATAGAAGAATATTAAAATGATAGACTAATTGTTGCGTGTGCAACCATACATTGCTGTACGCTAAGGCATTTTTTTTTTTCACATTAGTTTTAGCTTGATTCATATGATGATGCGATAGTTCTCATAGATACCATGCTCCCGGTCCTTTGATGCAAGTCCGGTCATGCAACAAATAATTTTTCAACAATGAAAGTTGGTGATGATGGATGACGACGAAAACGGTGGTGCGGAAATTAAAAATTTTTTTCTTCACCGTTGCACACACCACGTCCACCGAATCCTTAAGGTTAACCGCCTACTCTAAAACCTGTATGCATCAGTCTTGAACACTTGGGAACATTGTTTGAATCTTGGAACATTGGAACGTTGTGAAAGAACCCTTTTTCGTCTCCAACGCGCACACACATAACGCATTATTATTCATCACAATGGTACACCACATGAAAACAACTCACCTGTGTGCTCCGAGATTATTAGCTGATACATTATTTTCCAATGAACTTTATCTCAACCATCAAGGATTCCACTTGCATTAACAACATTCTCATGGTACGTAATGTTGTTGTTGCTGCGGCCTAATCTCTTTTGGAATCAGATCGGGTGGTACTTAACTAAATCATCGAATCGCTATTGGTGTTGGAAATGAGCAAGATGACGATGTCTCGCGATACAATGAACAGCCGAGTGATTAAATAATGCAACACCAAAAAAAAAAAAAATTTCGGACATGCGAGACAAATAATAATATTTGGCGCATTCAATGACGTATTTTTTTTCGCTGTCCGATTTTTTTGAGGGGTGATCTAATTCTATAATTAATAGATGAAAGGATAGGGGTGAGTAAGATGAAAGAGGATTGACGGTATGTGTTGGTAATAAGTGAAGGAAGGTGCATCCGGAATCTTTGATTCCCTTTAGCAATGCTCTCCATTCTGGGACTACCTGATTTCATAGAAGAAGAAAATAAAAAAAGAATAATACAGTTGACAATGCCCATCTCACCGATTATTTATTCGGTGCATTTGTCGGTGTGAGAGCTAGCCAATTGCAGCAGGTTGGCATCACTGTCAAGTCTCATTAACCTTCTCGCTTAAATGCGTATCGGTTTATCACACATGGTTCATCATAATGCCATTTCCCTCGAGAAATTCTTTGATTGTTCTTTTCTGCCGCTGCCATTCACCATTCATATACAGTACTTGTGTGCTCCTTACAAGTTTGGACACAGTGGAAAGAATGGAAATAGGCAGAATGCGGAGCATTTTCAAATAGCCTCTTTTTTTTTTTTTTTTCACCGTAACAAAAAAAACAGATAAGGGAAATTATTCATAATAATATTATCTCCGAGTCAAAACTTTACATCACTAGCCCAATATGGTATGATATTTAAAATATTATCTGATTTATATTGGTCGACCAAAAGTCATTTACATGACACATCAATTGCCCCAACCACCTTTTATAAATTATCTTGTCACTAACCAATTCATCATCAATCTCAAAAGTGATTGTAGCTTCCGTTTAAGGTTTGGAGCTACACAAACCTAAAACCAGATCTGTAGATTGAATACATAACAGGAATACTCTTGTCATGTTACCTCTCATCATACGTGTCGTAAGTGTCATAGTGTTCATCCCCGTTAGGAGGGTCATCACGGATCATTCCGCGGATCCTCGGATTCACGTTTGCTGGTAGTCCTTTCTCGAGGCACACCTCTTTCAAAACGCATGTCCCTGAGGCTTTGTTTTCCCCGATGAAAGAAATAATCATAATCATAATCATATATATATATATATATATATTTCATGTATTTATCTTATTCTATTTTTTATTTATTTGTCATTACCATTTCTCTTTTTCATTCAATGTCACGCGCGCAGGTTATATGCGTATATTGTGCTGACGGCCTTGAACCTTCATTGACACCAATTTGGTCTCGGCCGCACATCACCCAATACGTTTTCATAAGACGGTAAGCATCGGAAAATTAATTCCAAGGTGAGACCCTTGCCATTTTCTTTTATTTGTTAGCCTTCCCTCCTGTCCTTTAATATAATTGCAAAAAAAGTCAAGCGCGCAGGTTCATCTGTAAATCCTGAGGCACAACCAAACGAGAATCGGAATCGGAATACAATTAGCATAGGCCATCACGAATTTCGTTTATGACGTGCACTTTTGATGACAAATTAATTTCAGATGTGATCGGTGCTTTTTTTTTTAAGTTCCTTTTGGTGATTAGTAATTCCACAGATTCAATTCTTTTTTTTCCCCGGCCATCCCGGCGGGCGATTGTCGCCTGTCAAAAAAAAAAAAAAAAAAGACGTAATGCTCCCTTTTGCCATAGAATATTCTGCCTGCTGTCATCGGCCCAATCTAGAACCTGCTTAGTGCACTTCTTTTGCTCCTATCGGTCGTCATTGTCATTATTATTGGTGTCCTTTTTTTTTTTTTTTCTCTAAAATGAGCATAATCTAAAATTTCATATTATGCTCTCTCTTTTCATGACCGTTTTTCTATTCGTCACAAAACGTTCCATTCAGTCGGCCGAGAATCCACAAAGTGTATTATTATTATTATTATTATTATTATATATTTTTTTTTGTCCGAATATGCTAGTCAAGACAAATATGTGTGGAATGTTGAATATGTACGTAATGTCGGTTCTATAAATTCGATTACCCGCAAATAGGCAACTGATGATTTTTATTAATAGTCCACAAACACGTATGTACACATACACAAGAAGGGATCTTCTCTTCAAATGGTATCACAGAACGGATGTAGATTATAAACAGGTGCTTTACATACGTCCTTTTTTTCCCGTCGCTTTATTCAAAAAAAAAAAAAAACTACTACTACAGTGTGCATTCAATAACTTGCTAAATAGCATTGCATAAATATTTCGTATGTTATTTATTTATTTATTTATTTATTTATTTATTCATGCAAATATCTACAATATTTTATTATCACGGTACCATAAATGTTTAGTTTGATATTTTTTTTTTCGGCAAACAGTATATCATCACACTAAATCCCACATTTATTTTCCCTTTTTCTTTCTTCTTTACCCTTCAAAAAAAAAATTTTTTTTTTTTCCACAGTTTTTTTTATTGTTCTTCATATGTTCCAAGGGAGAGCATAAAAAAAAAAAAAAAAAAAAAAAAGTTTTTTCCCTTTTTTTGGTAGCGTGCGTGTCTTCATTTTCCCGTTTGTATTTAAATATCGCATCGGCCATTTTTCTTCTTAATCATAAGAAAAAATCCATTCGGTCGTAGGAACCCCCCTTTTTTTCTTTGACATAATTGCATTAATAATAGTTTAAAAAAAAAAAAAAGTTGAGAAATGAGCACGCAATTAGTGGTGGAGCGACCATCCTCGCTGTTCCCTCGTCACTCTCCCTATTCATTAAACGAACACCCGTTGTCCTTGCCTCCGTCGACCCACAATTTTCGTTATGATCCAATAAATTCGGAACAGAACCAGAGCTTCTTCCCTGGACACCATCAACCATATCCTGTCCCATATCCATCTTCATCAAGAATGCGCACTGCCACCGACTCAAATTCCACCAAGCAATCAAGCACTGGAGGTACCATGGGAATGATAAATACCAATCTGAGTGGAGACGATAACGGAAGCGGCGTCATCAAAAGAACGAATAAGACTCATGTTCCAAGCGCCTGCGTTAACTGCAAGAAGGCTCACCTCGCCTGCGATGGTAAGCGGACCATTCTCGAATTTGACTTTCATTCACCCACTCTCGCGTGTTGCAATCTGAAAAAAATAATAGAGATAGTTAGATAGATAGGTAGATAGATAGGTAGATTTCAGCCAGTACAACTTTCTTTGCATGTAATTTTCCCATTTATTTATCTACGCGATTTGGCTTAGTTAAATTTCACGTTGCACAAATATTCAAGCAATGAAGCATTTGTTTGAACACGTGATACCAACGCGTTTTTTTTAAAAAGCGGCTTCTCTAGCAACGTAACGTGATTAGCGACTGGATATAAAGGACAAATAATAGTGAGCGCGCGTCATTCGATGTCAACGAGAAGTACGATTTGCCGGTTGCGATTGGGACATGGATGAACCCTCTTCGAATAGTCACTTTCCTCGGTGTGTTGCAAGTGTTGCTAACGACATCGATTTTTTTCATTCTCTCTTACTATCCATGTAGTCTCAAGACCCTGCAAACGATGTGTCGCACTTGGAAAAGTTGAAACCTGCGTTGACATCAAACACAAGAAGCGCGGCCGCCCAAAGTTGAAGGATAAGAAGCAGTACCCGTATGACACACATGCGACTGCTGATGCTAAAACATGGGGAACAAATCCACAATTTTTACCACCCACCACCGCCGATCCGGACCAGCAGTCTGGTAGTCGCCATCATGTTGATCAACCGCCGCCTCCGCAAAATCAGCAGCATTCATTCTCGTCCTTCATACCATCACCGCCTCATCTTCATTCGCCGCCCGTAAGTAATCGACCGATGTCATTTCATCGTCCTTCCCAGTATCTAGAAAAACCTTCCAAACAGCTAATGAGGTCACCGTCGGTGTCATCGCTACCGGAGAGTCCGTCGTCCACCATCACCATGTACTTGACCATCGATGGAGCCACATGCGCGTCCGTATCAAAAGAGTGCCTGGGAATTATGGGATACTATCCGTTAGAACTTGTAAACAAATCTATCTACGACTATATACTTCCCGGTGATGTGGCAAAGTTTCAAAAGTTTTTCAATTCGCTGTTAGAAAGTGTGCACCGATGTAATAACACATCGAATCAGCACTCGTATCAATCGACCAGTGATCCCAGATTCTCTCAGTGTTCCAGCCATGATGGCATCGAGGTCTCGGGGACGATCAACTTGAGGCAAAGAATTGGTCAGTATGATCTGTACAATGTTCGAATGTACCTTGAACGAGGTTCCGGTTTTGATTTCGCGCGAAGGGAAACATACGTTGTCGCGCTCTTCACCAAGATCAAGAGTGACACCTACACCCAATCGGGCGACTGCAGCCCGTATGTGCGACCACTCAGCGCAGATCCCGCATTACATGCGATGAACATTGGTGTCGGGCGATCTGGTCTCCTGAGTCCAGTCTTATCCCCGCGGCAGAGTCATTTTTCAGACATTCCACCTCCCACGTCATTGTACGCCGAGGCACCTCCTCCTCCTCCACCATCGAACCCCCACAATCCAAACGATCACTTTAATCAATCGCACCATCATTTATCGGATAGTTATCAGAAGCACCGTAATGTCACCAACCATTTCTCCCCAATTATCCCTCGTCCAAGTCCGATAGTTCCAAGCGTACATCGACCCGAACCGTTGGTTAATCCCGGTCCACTTTCGCGTCGCTCAGAGACATCACCCTCATTGTTGATCGAAGGCCGACCTTCCGCCTTTAATCTCACGCGATCACCACCCAGTGGCATTATATCACCCATCTCCACTCCTGCCGCTTATAAACAAGAATTCGAAGACTCCAAGCCAAACATGAATGCCTCGTATGTTCACTACGATCGCCCAGTGAGCTATCCTCATCACGTTCATCAATCACGTCATCACGATGAAATACCGAATTTGGCAGATGGACGCGATGAAGGTATGATGATACCGAGGGAACCTGGTTCTCGTGGGGAAAACCTCAGAGTATCTGATTCTGAATCCACCAAGAGGATGAGCGTAACTTCATTGCTATGCTAAGATCCGAGATGCAGAAAACGGAATCATCAGCAAAAATAAAATGCTCGGTCACCTCTAAACAATTAATGGTGATCTTTGCATGCTCTCTGAGGTTCATCCTTATCTCGATGAGCTGCGAATGCGTGCTACAACATTTTACACTTCTTTTTTATCTTTTTGGAGGGAAAATTGGTAGACTCAAGGTATGATGAGGAAGGACACACATGGGTTTCTGGATTAAGTGATATACATACATAAACATACATCCTACACATCCATCTACATATATATAACATACACATACACATACAATTTTGGAGCGCTTTCATTCTAAGTAGTTTAAAAAAAAAAAACAGATTCATAAATAGAAAGCCTCGTAAATTATTTTATCCCGGCGTGTGTTTCGGCAACAACAAAAGGCAGAGTTTTCGGGTGCGGAGGAAAAAACTAGGACAAAATGTGACGGGATTTGAAATGGTGTTTTTTTTTTTTTTAAAAGAAAAAAAAATAAACGGGATCCGATGGCGATAACTTGGAGAGGTCAAGTGGACGAGGAAATTATTTTATCAAAGAAAAAAAAAAAAATCTAAGCATAAGAACAAAATAACCAAGCACTAAACTAAGATCTTTCTTAAATCATCGAGGTCAGATTATTTCTTCTCCTGACACGCACACATATAATCCTCATAATTTCAAAAAAAGTACCGAAATAGGCCTCCATGTATAGAATATATATATATATTTTCCTTCTCTTTAGAAAAGTTTTTTAAAGTTAAAAATTATTATTATTATTATTATTCGTTTTTTTCTTCTCTTTTGTAATTAACATTATATATTATTTAATTTTTTCTTTTTTTTCCAACCTATTGCACATATTCTATATGCATTTATATTATTTATATATTATCATATTATATTTATCCATACACATTATATATTTATACATCTAGTTGTTTATTTACATGTTATCTCACCTAATATTTTGCTTCCTTTCCGAATCACGACTTGTTACGGTGTTTCTTACATTGATAAATTTCCATCTTTATTTGTTAAAAAGAGAGAGCGCGCATTTTTTTCTTTTCCAAAGGCATTTTTTTTTTTTACAGTGAGAAAGAAAAAATGATGTTTCTTATTTATTTATTTTTTTACGAACGAACGAATTATGGAGACGCGTAAGCTTGTTTGTATACACCACCGACATCAAAAAAAAAAGCATGCAGAATAAATGAATTTCATCTTTCGCATTGATTCGTACTTGAAAAAATTATTCGAATTCTTTCACGAGTATCATGATACTTTACAAGTCTGCTGAGAATGTGTTTCACGTCGCGCGTGCAACTTGCGTCTACACGATTTCAGGGCCCAAGATTTTGACAACGCGTCACGATGATTCCGAATGCATGATAAGCAAACTAATATGTGATTAGTTATCCGATTGCGAAATTAATGTGTCTCTGAGATTGGCGTCAAATTACATTTTTGTAAACTCCTTGACACATGCATATACATACATTACATCGTGTGCCGCAAGATAGCCGAGATAATTTCGGAATTTCGTTGAATAGATACGTCCTTCATTCAAATTCTCTCACAATCAAATTTTTCGCATTACCTATTTGTTCACATGCATCAATGAGGTCGTTCATTGTGTGCAAGTGTGTATTAGTGAATGTTTGGGACACAGAAATTGATAATTTCTGGTTATTTGCTGATTGGTGATGAAAAAAAAAAAAGAATCGGATAAAAGAGAAAAATATTTTGGTAATCCGGCATGCATCAATGGACATAGAATTGGTGATGAGTTTTTTTTTTTTCCTATAACTATTGGTGGGGTATGCGGAAACATGTAACGTGTGACGTTTGTAACAAAGTTTGTACTAGCACCGCTTTTTTTGATTTTTTACACTAACCGACTAAATAAGCCGTATAAAAAACATTCTGCTATTTGTATCCTGAGAAAGACGATGATTTCGAACATCTAAACTCAATTATGAGGCATTTAAATTTGTTAACTGGTCTACTTATATCACAGCAATGGATCTAAGCTATCCATTTTGGTGGTATTTTAAATTAGGTCCATGTATCATCATTTTAAGCAAAAGAGGTGCGGATATTTAGTTCAACCATTAAATTCCTTATGGTCTAGATCAACCTTTGAAAGAAACACGGGTAAATCATTCGATTTGATTTGCGTTGGGTTGAGAGTCGCATACGGGTGCGTTACGACGCACGTAGGAATTGACTGAAGCACAAATTAATTTTTCCGATACTTTAAAAAAACATGAGATGACCGAATATATTGCAAATGATATCAGAGCATGTGCGTGTGTAACTCGTGTTTTCGAAATTTTTGATAAACATGATTCCGGGTCATGGTCCTTTTTTAAATCCAATCCCCGAAATCACGATTTAGCAACCGTTTCCATCCGCATACTCTCCCGATCACGTACTCCAAAGACCTCACGGTTCAATGAGAAGAAAAAAATTCGGTCGATCGAATAAAACGCGCTTATTATATGAAGCCGAGAGCTGTGAAACATAGAAAACCTTAAAAGCCTTATTTACAGTATGTACCCTATAAAAGACTCGGGATGATCTGAATTCTTATAATTTCCGATGATCGAAATTCTTTCGTACTTGGCGGATGTTCAATGCAAATGATTATTAATACATAATTAGGTTGGTTAGGTTAATTACCAATTTGTAAGGTTTGAAATTTGTGATGAGCTTCGCCCCAATGAGGGTGTAACCGTGGGTGACACTCCGGGTGGGTTGATTGGTGCTTGACCTTTTATACGTACGCATATTGACGGTTTCAACTGTTTAATATGAAGAGAGATGATGGTGTATATAAACTTTGGCATAAACAAAATAAAATAAAAATCCAAGGAAATTGTTATTAAAACGTTGGTCGAACAAAAAATCGGTATTCCTGAATACCATGATTAAATCAACATGCAGCATAATTCTAAGATTCAAGGGTTGTTGAACATAAAAAAGCTTTAGGTTTTCATGTTACATACAGCATACAACCTAATGTACAATTTTTATGGATTTTAACTTGATGACATATGCTGTTAAAATTAAAGTATATTACATGCAGAGAGCATTGTGCAGAATAATTAATAATAAATATGGTTAACACTTATCATGCACATGTGCTTGTAAAAAAATTTATTTAAATAATGGAAAGTCTAAAAATCACATCTTTCTAACCAATGACAATATTTTTTCAAAAAAAATGGATTTTGATATTATTTGGCATGCAACATATTACATGAAAAAAAATTTTTAATCAACTTTTTCATACGATCCCTGACAATCGAATTTCAAATTTTTATTATAAAATTTAAATATAAAAAATTATTTAAATAATAATAATAATAAATAATTGTTTCTTACTATATTATATATACTGTATATATAATGAAATATGATAAATCTTTTCTAAATACATTCGCCATATATTCTCTTCTAAATGCCATATACGTATAATTAGATTTTGTTTTAAATGCATGAACCATTTTCTTTTAAACATATACTTTCTTTCTTTATATACTGTACATCTTTTTTAAAAAAGAATTTCTATTATTTCAAAAGAAATACATTTAAAAAAGAATTTACTGTACTAACTTGTTTATTACATTTTTTTAACTAATATTAAAAAAATAATAATAAATATTATATTCAACTAAGTTTTTTTCTTATTTATTTATAAAAAAATTTTGAAAACAAAAACCTTTTGTCATTATTAAAAACAACAATTTGTTTTTGCATGAAAAATATATCAATTCATTCTTTTAACATCAGGTCTTAATATCAAATAAAAAATCATTTCTATTAAAATTAATACAATATTCTTATTCATATTTCAAGTTTCGCTATATATAAACCTATTTTAAAAGATTGATTATAACAATTCAAATTACAAATATATAAAAATTAGATTCTTAATCAAATTCATTAAGACTTGAGTTAGTTTATTAATAAAAATTATATTAAAAAATGTTTTTTTTTTGTTTTTTTTTTGTTTATATTATATATATTAATATTAATATATTTTTTAATCATATAATATTATCACCTTACTCTTGTTTAAAATATTCTATTACTTAATTTCTTTTTTTTTTTTAAGTAGACAAACATCATTTCTTTATTTGATTTGTATATAACATGGTATACATTATGAAAGAAACAATATCCCTTATGTATTGATACAATAAGTTAAATGCTAGCTTGCATACAGTAACTATACAACTAATATTGAAAAGAAAGTTTAATTCTATTACTTAATTTCTTTACTTTATTTAATTATCTTTATCAAAGTATTTATTTATTTATGTTTATTTTAAATATATTACCAATTTTAATAAAAATATCCATTTTGTTATTTATATTTACTTTTATATAAACTATTATATTTGTATATAAATATTATCAATTCTTTTGAAATTATAAAATTAAACTTTTGTTTTATTAATATATATCTTGATCTTTATAAAACAAATTATTTTTATCTTTTTTACTTGATTTTATTAATCTTAAAATGGTATAAATTTTATATACTATATTTTTAAAAATTATAATTTATCATTAATTTTTTTAACTTAATACTCTTTTGTTACTGATTCTTTGTTTATATTTTTTTTGAAATAAAAATAATATTTAACAATATATTTAATATTTAAATTATATTTAATAGTTTTATTAAATTAATTTATAATATTGATTATAACTATTTTCAAAATATATTATTTATTTTAATAATATTATTAACTTAAATTTTTTAATTCATTAATAATTAATTTTTTTTATTACTTTAATATCTAATTATTATTTTTAATTATTAAATATAAAACAAACATTATCAGATTATAAACATAAAATAATATAAAACACTTTACAAAAAATTTAAAATTAATTAACTATTTTTAATATTAAATAATATTATTACAATTTTTCAAATTATTAAAATAACAAAAAAATTCAAAAAATTCTTTATATTTTTTCAAATAATTTCA